TCGAATCCATTCAACAACAAAAAAAATTTTTTCTACGTGAATTAATTTGTTTGATTCATTTGTTTCACTTAAATAAACAATAAGGATATTAGGGAAACTGGGGGGGAGGAAGGGCCGTCGGTCGGTCATTCAGTCAAAACCGTTCATATTGAAAAATAATGTTTGTATCATGAAGATGAATTGGATTTTGTTTGTTTATCAACACATACATACAGTTGTCATTTACATCACTTTTCCCCGCGTTTATCAGATTTGAATTTGAACAACAACAAAAAAGAGAAGAATAATTTAATTATAATGAGAGAAGGGTTGTTTTGTGGAGATTATTGTAATTGCTGCAATAGTTGAATTCATAATTCAATTGAAGTTAGACCACCATGGAAAACCTGAAAGCACTGGATGACCGTTTAATTCTATTGTGGGACTCTTCAGCAGTGTACATCTACGATCCTGCCACGCGAGGTTCGAACCTAGCACCTATCAGGACGAAACGGCTGTCCAGTACTTTCAGGCTTTCCATGACAGTCTAACTTCAATTGACTCATTCTATTTAGTTATGATATTTTAAAAAATATTCGATTAAAATATGTTAATATTTAAGAGAAAATTATATAACAAATCACAAATGCAATTCTGGATATTTTTTCTAAAGAAAACAAGTATAATCTGTTGTTGATGTAAACAATAAATCCATAAAATTAAAAATTTTTTTAACAAGGATAACTTAATTACTCATGTTACCGCTCGTTGAGGAGCATAGGCCAATCACCAGCATTCTCCATCCAACTCTGTCCGGGACAACCTATTCCAGTTCCAATTCATCCTTTTCATGTCTGCTCCTATTTCTCGATGTAGTGTGTTCTTCGGCATTCCTCTTTCCATTTTCCATTCAAGATACCAAGTTAGCGCTTGTCTCATGATGTAGTTTGATGATTTTCACAATGTATGTCCTATCCAGTTTCAATGTCTTTTCCTAATTTCCTCTTCAGCTGAAATCTGGTTTGTTCTCGTCCACAGTAGGCTGTTGCTGATGGTATCCGGCCAACGGATGTTGAGTATCTTGTGTAGACAGTTGTTTATAAATACTTGTAAATTTTTAATTGTGGTTGTGACAGTTCTCCATGTTTCAGCTCCGTACAGTAGGACTGTCTTGATGTTCGTGTTAGTCGTCGTCGTCGTGTTCACTTGTACAGGTCTTGTTGTTCTTATTTCGTGTTATGGGAATTGCATTGGTTCTTCGTTTCTTTTTCAAGTAATTAATAAGCGATGTAGATATAATATACAAATTTGGATGTATTTTCTAATCTCTCAACAATATTTCTTGTTTATTTGTTATCATCTACTCTGATTAACCATTGAATAGGAATGTATGTTATGTATCTTCATTCTTTAGCCTAATTCTATTGAAAAAGTTTCAATATCTTCACTAGCCTATGTGACTTCATATCATACTTTTTATGTTAGGTGGCTGAATGGAATCAGTAAAAATTATTAAATCTAGGTTTTGAACTGGCTCACATTCACAGCACAGTTTGTTTAGATCCTCCAACGTTACAAATATCCATCGATGAGTATCGAATAGCATGAAGTCTAGGCTCAATACTTCCTACCGATGGTCTCCAACGTCATAACTTTATTTGTCTCTATAAGTGGTATTTTCTTGGTTTTCTGAAGTTATTGTTTTGGTTTTATTTGATTATCTTCACATAAATTCTATTTCTAACTTATTACATCATCAACTGCACTTCTGTTATATGACTTAAGAATGGTTGTTGTGAATTAACCGAAAAACTAAACTTTTCATTCTCTTCAAATTCTTCATACTCATGTAATATTATTTTAAAGAATTGCTGATTCGTTTCAACATTTCTTTGTATATAAATGGAAAGATAGTTTATTAGTTAAGACGCTCGACCTTTGGTTCCTAAGTACCAGGTTTGAAGACTGCCCACCTACTTTGGTTCGGGAAACTGGGTAGTATTATTAGCCTTCACACTTGAAGTGTAGCTCATAAGCAATCACATGTGAGTGAGTTTATTCATTTAATAATAACTGTTAATTTGAACGTACGTGACGATGGTTATGTTATTCACAGTTATATTTCAAATCTTCGTTTTATAGCATTTAATCAGTTTTGTGTTCCAATATGGCTTTTGTGTTTAGTGAGATATTAGTTTTGACTCTATCTGATCAATGCACATCTAAATCCTACAAAAGATAAATCACTGCCCGAATAACCCGACAGTGACATCTGAGTTTGTGATAAAAGTTCTAATCCTATGGATAGTATCAATCTCATCCTAGATTACATTACGCCTTAGTGATGAGTGTTAACTAGTATTAAACTAAGTTTCAGATCCTCCTGACTGACTACAAACACTAAAACACAATGAAATAATTTTAAGTATGATTTCTGCTATGCCAGATAATAAAAAAGTTGTTTTTCTTCTTTCTATCTTCGAATAACCTAAGGGGTAAATGTCGCTCAGTGAATTTGTTGTAGAGACTAAAGGTGATTGATTTAAGCAAGCAATAATTACGCATAAACATTTCTTTATTGTACTGGAAAGTCGGATAAAAATCACCATAACAAAATGAAATTAACTAACAACAAGATGCAATTTTTGTTAAGATAAAACTGGAGTAGATTTATGGGTGGGACAAAAATGGAATTGCAACCAATCGGGTAGTTTGATTTTATATTTATATATCTCTAGCATCATTAATGCCTCAGTTATTTAGTAAGTAATATTGATATGTTGGAACAAAATTGAAAAGGGTTATGCATCAACTGTAACTTCTTATATTTAATTTCTTTTACTCTGATAATGAACGTATATAGTTCTTCAAGTGTTTGGGTTATTATGGTAGACAATAGTCAATAAAAGTAATGGAAAAAAATTGGCTGGTTAACTCCATCTTCTCATTGAACATTAGGTGAAAAGAAACTAGTGAGCAAATAAGTGTTAAGGTCTCAGTTGTTTGTATAGAATCATAGAGTAATTAATCTAAGTAAAGCTATTGATTCTGTTGGCATAAGGAGAAAAAATAGTCGATAGGCGAACTCGATAGTAACCTATTGTTATAATCCAGTAAATGACCCAATCATAACGGTAGCAGAAAGACAAAGGTAATTTGTTACTTTTTCTTGGATACATTATAATATTCTTACCTGAGAGTATAAGAGACTTATTTGTCATATACTAAGATACTATTAAACAATCAATATAATTCACTCGTTAAAAAGATTTTCCCCATTTTTTTAATGTATCGTAAAAGAACGAATAACCTTGAATAGAGAGAAAGAGAGATGTAATTAATAATTATGTAATCATCATTTGTAGTTAGGCATGTATGGGATAGATAATGCACATTTCCTGTCAACTCATTTGTTCCTTTAAATCTAGGCTTAACTCATATAATCTAAATCAGTAAATAAGTTTTAATGTTTTCTAACTAAGATGATAAAAAATAGGTTAATTTGTAATTCAATCTTTATTTCCCCCCCCCTTACTTTTAGTCAGATTTTGTCTAGGCTAATTCATCACAATTTAAAATAGTCTCTATGCGATTTAACTAATTATTGAATGGTGATATTACTGATGAAATAAAATTAACAAAAAACCTAATCAATGATTAAATCCAATTAATATTGTTTGTTTGAATCTTCTCATTGATGTTTAAGACTACAAGTGATCAGACTCTTATTCGCATATGTGCATACTGTGCATATTGCCTAGATATAGCCACTATCCATCTTTGCATATAATGCTTGTGAATTAAGGCAATATCGAGGCAATCCGCATAGGATGCACATATGCCAATAAGAGACTGATCAATTTCAGTGGTAAACATCGATGCGAAGATTCAAGTAAAACAACACTAAGTGAATTTAAACTTCATCCCATTGAACAAGCAAGTGGCTATTAGGATTCAGTAGCTAGGTGGATAATGCGATGGTGTTTGAAGCGAACGGTACTAGGTTTGAGTCCCCGTTGGAACGTCAACTCTGATATGCAGGTACATCCCGGTGACGAGTCTCAAATGCGACGAAACAGGCGTAAAACTGGATTCCACTGCTAGTCTCTTTTCATCTTTGCATCTAATCAATGATTGTTTCATCCCACTTTAAAACTAATTAGTAGTGCGTATGAACGGCGCTATATAGTAATAAACTCACAATCTTCAGGTCACATAGCGAATAAGTTACTTATAGGTTAATGAGTAGAAGTCTAAGTTTTCAGTTTTTGTTGGTTACTTTTTATAAACAGAATTGGCTAGATGGTTTTATAATACGTTTGGGAACTTAAAACAATATTAAGCTTCATTATGTCCGCCACACTTTTTATTCAAGTTGGATATTGGCTTGCAGTAAAATTCAGGAGTCATGTTTCATCCTATTTGGGACTTATCAGTTGGATTTACGTGCATCCAGTATTGATGTTCAAAATACTAAAGTTGGTGGCTGAGTAGATAACGCGTTGACGTCTACAGACATTAGGGTACTGCGTCGAAGTCATCAACACCAAGATGCGAGTACATCCAACCAACCAGCCACAAATGGAGCTAAACTCACATTCGGCATTCCATTCTTACAATTCAAATATAATATAGCTTTTGACTAAATGGCAATATTAAATCAATCCACTCAGAATACACATATACCAACAAAGGCTGATTAATTCTATTCCGTACTATCAACAATAATTCTATTCTCAAATCGACGTACATCCTCATTAATTGATACTTTAAAGCCTTGTGACTTCTTGTTATACTTCATGATACTTATCAAACGATATCAAAACTGTTTTTATTTTATTAATGATCTAATCACCTAATCCAATCAGAGGAAATCCTCTGAAAGAATATTCAGCTGAAACGATCCCTCAAATTCAGTATATGTCCTTGTAAAATATAGTGATCAGTACCAAATGTAAAATATTTCGATAAAAACACATTTTATATTTTCTATTATTTGTTATGTTTATTTTTTACTTTAGACATTTGCTAATCGAATATACGGTCCAGCATGGTGGATTATGCCAATATTTGTTGCTTTTTCAACATTTGGTGGTGTTAATGGCAATATGTTGACTACATCAAGGATATTCTTTGTAGCTAGCCGTGAATCTCATATGCCCAGATTCATATCTTTTCTGCATAAGGATAAATTGACACCAATACCAGCTGTCCTTTTTACTGTGAGAATAAAGTTTAATTCTTCGATTGAATAAATTTCGTTGGGTGTAAAAAATAATTACCTTGCCTTATTGTTATTGGCAGAGTTTCGACTGGTTTTCGTTACATTCTAATAAGTGTAGTTATCAGTTGCTCAATTATTCATACTTCTGAATTATAATCGTTGTTTATTTAAATTTCACACATTGAAATCATGAGTCAATTGAAGCTAGACCACCATGGAAAACCTGGAAGCACTGGAAGGCCGTTTCGTCCTAGTATGGGACTCCTCATCAGTGCGCAACCACGATCCCGCAACCCGCGAAATTCGAATCCAGGATTTATCAGTTTCGCACCAAGCGCTTAACCAACCAGACCACTAAGCCGGCATCCAATGGTGTTAATGCCTAATTTCAATCAATCCACGAAGTTGAGCCACCGTATACCATTGTCTTCAGTGAGCTGATGTCTCACAACAGACCCGGTCTAGTTTCAATTGACTCAAGATTTCATTCTGTGAAATTTCTAAAATCTCCACAAACCTCTTCTGTTTATTTAAATGTTGAAGGATTTTTATTGAACTTAGCCTAGATGAAAGATTCAGCTGGATCTGGATGAGTTATCTGGAATTCAAAACACAAATCGATGAACCACATACAAATGTTTTTTCTGTAAACTGCATACATTCAATTATGTAAAATGTAGAAAGAAATCGGAATAATTTTTTTAGTCAACAGTTGAGATCATTGATTAGCTGATAGTCGTAGAATCAACCGTTAAAAATTATTCAAGATGAAGGAGACGAGCAAATCTCAGTTTGTGGTTTCAAGTTGAATTGTTTCATGCTTTACAACTGATCGAAATCTGTCGAATGAATTGCAGTGCATACACTTGTCTTAGTGGTTCGACATTATTTGGACTATACTAGGTGTTTGAAGTTAATCAACAGGAAACCGTGCTTAGTGCTAGGTGCTTCTCAGCAGAAAGACATACCAGTGATCTCAAGGGAGCTGATATAACTGGTAGGATTCGAACCCAGATTTTCTTTTAAATACTTGTTATCTCGACATGGTGAACATGATATCGAGTCACTCAGACTAGTGGCCACACCGAAAATTGGTTGACAGAATTTGATCAGCCCTAAAGAACAAGACAAATATGACATTGATCAGTAGTCGGTGACAATTCAGTTGTAAATATTTTAGTTTCACTGGAAGTCGATCACTACTCAAATAGTTGACTCGTAACGTCTTGCACAGTGTTTCTGGGTGTTGTGAGTTCAAATACAGAAGGGAGCAATAGTTACCTGTATATTTCAGGCACACCTTGGTTATGAATGCCAACGAGCACGAACCCAAGCTCAGGTTTTATTACCGATTACCTCCAACCACCTAACATCGTAAATGTTTATTGTTTATTCCATCTCAGCCTACTTATTCAAGATGTTAAGTAGACAGTATCTGTTATTATTTATTTCACAGAATGAATTTATGCAAATTAGTAGAATATAAGTTTATATAGCACAATTACAGTAGCTTAATTTTTAGAGCACCCAAATCTTAACCAATAACGTAGGATCACAAATACACCTTCAACTATCAAGATTTCGGTTATGGGATAGTAGTACCTCCAACCCTTACACCGACAATTTGACTCTTAGTTGAGTCACTAAACTCGTGATTAGTAAGTTAATTTCATTACTACTATTATTATTATTACGCTAAGTAAAAACTGATAAAAATCAGTCGAAAAATATTGTTTTCAGTCGAAGCATTCATTATCTTTGCATTTTTCACGTGTTAAGATGAGAAGGAACATTAGAAATTTGAAAAAAAAATGGAAGAAATGCATGTTTTGAACGCGATTGCACCTTGTAACAATATTATTTGATGTTTAAGTCTTAATATTCTATGATAATGTGATAATATCAAAACTGTTCAGCATCTGATGATCAGATATCAGTTTCCATCCTAGTTACATATACATATAGTATCAGTAGTTCCAATGTAAAAATCTCTCAGTATAGGATTGTTGAAATTATTAAATTTTTGATTGAGATCATGAACCGATTAATGTCAGACCACCATTGAAAGCCTGGAAGGCCGTTTCGTCTTCTTATGGGACTTCTCATTAGTGCGCATCCACGATCCCTCTCCGCGAGACTCGAACCCAGAACCTATTGGTCTCGTGCGCGAACGCTTAACCTCTAGATCTCTGAGTCGGCATCCAATGGTGTTAATATGTAACCTCAACCAATCCTTAAAATTGCGCAATCATCTTCCATTGTACTGAAGTTATTACCTGTCTCTACCCGAAACAGATTAGCTCCACTGATCACAGATTCTCATTAGAACTCCGAGAATCCCCTCACGAAGCTAGTGACTAGTGAGCACATCGTAGTCCCACAACAGGACCAAACGGCCGTCCAGTGCTTCCAGGTTTTCAATAGTGGTCTAGCATCAATAGATTCCCGATCTCAAGTAAAAATCTTTGTTAGCTATTTACTTTCTTGATAATAGTTTAAAGTTACTCATGAAAGCCTACATTTTTTTATACTTACTCGCTATAAGTACAACATCATTGATTGATTATTACGTATGATAACTATCCATTAGCTTATCTGTTTCTCTATTTATATTCTGTTTTTTCCCTTTCCTTAAATGTTCTTTTGTTGTTTCTTCACTTCATTATCATCATTCTCAAAGTGTATCACTGGTATAGCTTATCTTCTTGTAACAGATATTTATTCACTGATGACCTATTTGGGTTTTGTTCAATGGTTAGCTATTGGCGTATGTGTAATGATTGTTATCGTATTCAGATATACACGACCTGATGCCAAACGTCCAATTAAAGTAAATATGATTGTTTTCTTGTTGGTTTGTTAAATATTCTTGTTCGACATATTTTTTCTCAATAAAACCACTTAAGAATTCTATAGTAAGCTGAAAACCGTTGACATTCAGCTAGTGTCACCATGTTTGCATACCACTCTGTTCAATACGTTTTACGTCGCCAATTAGTATCAATAGTTCAAGCATTAAATGTGTAATTTAATGTCAAGTAAATAAACAAGGATATTGGTCAATTAAGCTGATGGAAACATCGCAACCTAAACAATGGAATTCAATTATATGACATTATTTACTATTGAATGATTAATCAGTGTAGAAATCTTATTTCTTCAGTAGGACCATTCAGCACCAATTAGCTCAGTGGTGATATCTTCAACTGTTAAATTCAAGATTTCAAAAAAAAAAACAATACTGTCAAGCTTCAAAATCATATACCAAGATTTGGTAGAAATACGTTATCGTGATTATTCACATGAGATAAGGGATTACATAATTGTTTGATTACTGGTGACTAAGCTCTTAGGTATACTTCTTCGTCGAAATTTTTAATATAATAAAATTTATTCTTATAAATGATAGTTACTGAAAACAACGTCATCAAGAATAGTATATTAGTAAATGTTATTGTCAAGCTGAATTTTTGATAACCAGAGTAGTAATAAGTTTATTACTGCCTCTTTTTGAATACGTAGATTCGATTTAAGTTTTTCTTATCACGATCGCTTTAGAAAAACTGAGAGTAGCCGTACTTCTTTGTCTGTTAGTAATTTTAAAAGCATGAGAGATATCAATGGTATGCCCGGTGTCAAGTAAATACTAAGCTATTGCAATGTTGAGAGTCCTTCTCCCTCGCAGCCTCAATTCTTTTAGAACATGTTCAGGAATGCAACCATGTACTCTTCTCTCAGTTCTTCCAATGTATGTGTTTTGATACGTACATGTAAATTGGTAAATGCAGTTGGAGCTACTCAGAAAAGAGGACTTGTGAATTTTAATTTGTTTGAGTGAGCAGTTCATTTTCCATAGCGGTGATTGATGACTAAGTTCTTAAGAATACTTCTTCTTAAACTTTAAATAATCGAGATTTTTAATATAATAGAATTTATTCTTATAAATGATAGTTAATGAAAAACAACATCATCAAGAGTAGTATATTAGTAAATGTTATTGTCAAGCTGAAATTTTAAAAACAAAATATCCATCCGGACCGTTTTACTAATGTTGGAGACGTTAGATTCCCAGAACTCACTTGAGAAAAGACCTAATTTTTGTAATTTTATTTAGAAAATTTGAATTTTTTTATTTTCGCGCCAAAGGCGCTCTTGTCACCTTCATGTCGTATTTCCCACTTGAGAAATATCTTAAATGCTATTGGTCCGTTGCGTCTTTCAGTATGTTATTTGGTAACTCTCCCCAAGGACGGTTTTGTACTGTATATATACGTTTTGAATTGTGTTCGTTGTTATCGTTCGTTTCTGGCTGTTTGCAGAATCTACTTCCTCATCCCAAGCTTGAACTTCTCCTTCTAGTTAGTGGGGCTGGGATGCATCAATAGCTAGCTTATTAGTCTTTGGTCACCGAGTCTTGTTTGTCGTTCTCCGATTAAGTGAACTCGTGATAGCTTCAACCCTAGCAACTAAACTTTTTTTTCAAAGTTTCATTGTTAATGTCAAGTTCAAATTTCAGATTCAATGTACGTCGGGTTATTACATTCAAGTGTACAAAGTTAATTGTTAAAAGATTGTTTATTTATATGTCAAATATAAATTTTGACACTATTCATTCCACATACACACAAAAATAGTAAAATAAACGATGATTTCATCGATTTAAGATCTGGAAACGTCAACTATGAATAGGGAATGCTTTTACATTAATGAATAAGTTACAAGGTGAAGAATCGGTTCAATCAATTATATAGTAATCATTCTTCAAAGATTTCTTTAAAATTATATAACGTTTCTGCGTACCATGTTTGTTTTTTGACATTAACACTTTTATACTATTCATTTTCGTCCTAGTATGGGACTCCTCAGCAGTGCGCATCCACGAACCCGCCCCCTGCGGGATTCGAACTCAGGACCTACTGGCTTCATTTTGTTACGTATTCATATGGTTAAAAAATCAAATCAGTAAGAAGTTCCTTCTAACCAGGGTAGTATAAAAAGGTTTAAAATCACTAATATTCCACACTTACAACACCTTTCAAGATGAAACTTTGAGAATTGATATCTTATAGGCATTGCCAAAACAGTTGAAGAAATTCGCTGTATCATTTTGAAACAATTTCATTTCTTTTACGGTAGAGACTTTCCCACAACTACATTACTGTTCCCCTAATGATTTAACTATTTAACTTTCTATTTTATTTTCACATATCAATGTCTAATTAGGTAGTTTATAGTATTAGCATTCAAATAATCTATTGTGCTCATAGCCTAGTAAAATATGAAGTTATGAAAAGTTGAACTTTAAAGATCATTCTTTACTATCTCAAATTTAATGTTTGATCGCGTAAATATTACAAATTCAACAAAAACATTCATAAACCAGGAATGGATAACTATTCAAAATGTTTAACCTATCGTATTAGTGGCTTCTTTCATCAAAACGTTTTCATGAAATGATAACAATGGGAAAATCGTTAACATTCAAACGTGTGTACTAAAGCAATTCTATCCATATTTCCACTCTCGGCAAGGATCAAATATTTTGACATATAGGCAAAATTTTTATGATTTCCACTTTTAAAGTCTAATAGTATAAGTCAATGAGTTCATACTATTGAAGAGTTCAAAAATGAAATGAAATAAGATAACTGTATACACAATATTCATTCCATTTCATTGTTTCTTTAATTCATTTCAGTCAATAATGTAAGTTTTCTTAAAATAATTTCATCATTGAACTGAAATCTTTTATTGTTTATCTTTATACATTTATCAAGGCTCCTTTACCATTTGCAATTATTTATGTGACAATAACATTCTTATTGGTTATTTTTACATTTATTGGTGCACCAATTGAATCATGTAAGTGAATTCTATCCTTATATCCATATATGTATATGTATTAAATAAAGCATAGGGCATATTGAGGCGATCCGCACAGGATGCACATATGCCAACATAAGACTGATCAATTGCAGTTCTGAATAACAATGGGAAGATACATGTAAAATAACACTAAGTAAAGTTAAACTCCACCCCATTACACAAGTAGGTAGCTATTAGGATACAGTAGCTAAGTGGATAATGCGATGGTGTTTGAAGTCGATGGTACTGGGTTTGAGTCAAAGAGTGAACATCAACTATGAGATTGCAGATACATTCAGCTAACGAGCCCTAAATAGGATGAAATGTGCGTCAAACTGGATTCCACTACTAACCACTATCCATCTTTACTTAACATAGCGTATTTAGTTTTATTTTATTAATGATAAATTTTACAAAGTTTTCTTCTGGAATTCGATATTTCATATAAGTTCAAATCTGAAGAACATTTTGTTGCAAAAATCTTTTATACCTTGAGTTAAGGGTTATTGAAATAAATCATAAAACAAAAACACTATTGACGGAAACGGAAGTCATTTAAAGCAATGAATCAAATAGCATTTTATGTTTTTATTAACATTATTCTAGTCAATTCCATTCAGTATAGTTTTTTATTTCAGTTTTCTTTTCTTTCAGGTTAGTAGGTACCTTTAGTTAATTGTTATGGAAAATGTTTCAATCATTAATTGAATTCAGTTGTATAAAACCATTGAAAACTTAAAATAACTGAAAATCTATTTCAATAAAACTCGGCCATGTTCGATTATTTATTTATTTATTTCAAAACATAAATATTGGTACAAGAGGGCATCAAATGTATATGCGCCACACCATATTTGTATGTGTCTGGGCTGTGATACTGCCTGGGTGCCCAGACCGAAGCAAATGTTTTCTTGGGGGGCCACACCCCGAGCCTTTGACCTAAAGGTCTGACCCACAAGGCAGTGGAGCATCGTGAGGAGATGCAGTCCCATGGTAGCCGGTGACCAAGTAATTGGTTCATACGCCATTTGTTCCGGCAAGATACTGGAGCCCATGTGCACTGAAGGTTTGGAATCCGGTTAAGGCGCCGGACATTCGCTTTTCGTCCTCTCATTTTTGTAAACAACACCCCCTCTATGAGAAGACAGTGAGTAGGATTTCCTTGGCAGAGGCTGCATAGGCGTGGCCGTGTGAGAGTATTTCGAGAGGGAGGGCGGGCCTACCCCACTCTCGGCCATGCCAGGGCATTTGGGGGCATGTTCGATTATACATAAATAGAGCTTGATAAAAACGGAATCTAGAATTTTTAGACCTTATGATGAATAATATCACAATGATGGAATTTACATTTTCAGATTTATTCAGTTTGTGATATTATACAAGCACTATTCAATGTCACTGACATGTTAAACTCATGACATAGCAGAACTCCACTGCCATCATAATGTTACACTATAACTTAAGAACTTCACTAGACTGAACAACAGTTTGAACATGATTATAGTAATAGATGATCATTAGTAAAATCAAAAGTTAGTAGGCAATGTTCCGTTCATTTAGAGTTTTAGTCTAAAATAAAAATCCTCTCCATTATTCGTTGGTTTTTAGTGCTTCGTCAGTTGGATTCATTTTGTGATCAAAATTTATTTTTATCCTGTGAATTAAAATCTTTTATTAATTAATTATTTTGATCATTTAAACTATTCTCTAATTCAACTTTACTTATCTGATGTATTTCATTATTTGTCAGTTAAATTCAATGTATTCGATTTCATTCAATTATCTTTCGTCAATATAGTTATTCTTTCTGAATTATTATATCGTTATTATATCATTTAAATAGTTGAGATCATCAGTGAATTCAAGCTAAACCACCATGGAAAACTTGAAAGCACTGGACAGCCGTTTCGTCCTGTTGTGAGACTCTTCAGCAGTGCGCATCCACAATACCGTCTCGCGAGATTTGAACCTTAAGACCACTGAGTCGGCATCCAACAGTGTTTTAATAATGATCTTTTTATGATTATATCACTGTTAACAAAATCTCTTAAAATATTATTTAGTATTGAATGTATACTTTATGTTTTTTAAACTTTATTGACCCTTTATTTCGATAATGCAATGAGAGGAAGAAAGTTGTCAGAATTATGTGATATATTTGCGCAATACATGTCGAACAATCTGATCACACATAGTATACTTGGTAAGAACACTTTTATGTGAAAAATAAAAGGTCAAGTAAACAGATTAAAAGTAAGCCGTAACGAAGGAAATCAAAATAAAGTACACAAAAACAATCTGATAACCACTCTGTATAATAAATCAGTATTACCAGGGTAGGTTGAGGGTAAGAACAAATTGTTTTCGAATATATAAAGGAGATTTAAGTTTATGTATGGCGAAGGCTTCAATAAACTGTAGTATAAATCCTTGAAGGCTTTTGTACAATACTACAAACTCTGACTTGACATCCACCCTATAACCAGTCTCAACCAAATGTTTTGCAGCGGAGAAAGATGTCTATCCTGTGATATTATTTCAGCATTGAAATTCATTTGTTTCTGCAGCCATTTAGATGTGCGTTCCGCCACCCTTTCTTGCAGATCACGATTATTCCTCCCTATGTACGTGATTCTGCACATACATGTAAGTTGATAGACACAATCACCTACCTGCTGTTTTAGTTTTTGGTGAAACATAGACCTTCTCTTTTCAATAATGACAAGTTGAGCTGCATAAAATGTCTAGTTGATGGCTAATTTAAGTCTCTGCTTCAACATGAGACTATTTGAATCACCTCTAAATGGTAATATAATGTAAACTCCCTTTTGGGTGTCAGAAGCGTCATCGGTTTAGTCGTATTTCAACCCTTCCAGAGGTTTGTAAACTTCAATTAATAACCATTATTCATTAACCTCTCACTCAAGAGCTTCGTCTCTACTTCAATAGTATCGCTAGTACAAATATGATTCTATTGAATAATCCCTTTATTAATCCACGTTTATAATGAATTGGGCAGTGAATATGGAAATTAATATATTGTCCTGTCCATGTCGGCTTTCTATATACAGAACGTTGGTTGGAACCATCATCTCTCCCCAGTAATCAGTATTTCTAAAAAAGGAAGTTGGTTATTCTTCTCTTCTTCATATATATAAGAGAAATATACTTTTGACTTGTGTTTACTTCTTTTAACAAGTGGTTCATATCTTCACGTTTATCCCCTATGACAATGATGTCATCCACATACCGTTTATACAGACACATCTTTTGATTTAAGTTTTCAGTTTATCTTTAACCTGTCTAGTTGACTTTTTTGTTTCCATATAAAAATGTGTGATCAAATTGTTCGAAATGGATGACCCCTTATTGTCTATTTTATACTGAATTAAGAATTATTTTTGTTTTATGGTTTTACCATTTTGTTGAAGTGTATAGTAATCTGCACAACATTCTCCATAGATCATTGCCTATTTTAACATAGATTACACCATTTTTACCCACAATTAATCGTATATGTAATTTCAACTATGATGAGCGTTTTGAAGTAAGTTGATGATAAGACTGCCAAGTAGCACGAAACCCGGGTCTAGAGTTTCCTGTTGACTACCTCCAACCACCATCTAAGACTGCAAGTTTACATGGATTCTGAGTGATTAGGGCAAATGTTAAGTAATGATATTTATTCCAGGAACTCAACCACCTATGATCTGATATATATTGATCTATTGCATAATAATACTTTTATACTTTAGTGAATTTTTGTATTTCATTTAAATTTTGTTTATGATTAATGAATAGTTACTTATGAATGGGGAAAACGGATATGTCAACAACAAAATTCGACTGAAACTAGGCTCATATAAAATTATAAATCAATAATTTATTAAATATAATCAACATATAAATGTAGGTTATTCACGGGAAAAAAAACAAAAAAAGAAAAAAAAGTAACTTCCTGTTCCTTTTTTCATTTATTGCAATCGTTTATTATGTCGATAGAGATTCATTTTTATTCTTAATTGATAGATAAATTATTCTAAATCTATATAGCATAGAATCTTTTGATCCAATTATTGTCTTTCATTTGTAACATTTACTAAAGTGATCCAAATGCCCTAGTACGGTCGAGAGTTAGGAGAGTCCACTCTCCTACTCCAAATGCTCTCACATGACCACTTGCATACATCCACTGTTAGGGAAGTTTTACTCACTGCCTTGTCGCTGCACCGGTGTTTTTTACAAAATTGAGAGGATGAAAAGCGAATGTACGGGACTTTAACCGAATTATTGCATACGGAGAGTTCACTTAGGGGAGTTGGAAAATTGTGATTTCAAACCATTGTTGCACATGGGCTTCAGTATCCTGAAGGAACAAATGGTGTATGAACCTACTGTTGGTGACCGGATACTATAGAACTGCATCTCTTTACCATGTTACACTGCCTTGAAGATCACATCTTTAGATCGAAGGCTCCCGGTGTGACTTCCTAAGAAAACCACTTCTTTCGGTTCGCGTATCCTGGGAGTATTCCAGCTCTCACACAAATCAGATGATTTATGTGGTGCATATCTGTTTGGTGTCTCCTTGCATCAATGTTTATGTGTTTAAAGAAACAAATAAATAATAATCTATTTAGCAAACAATTGTTATAAGAAAATACATCTTTAAATAAGGAATGGATTTGTAGATATCCGAATACGTAGAAAGAAATTAGATTATCTGTCGTTTCTACTCATTGGGATATAACAAATATATTAATTTTGTTTATCACAATCTATTCAATGCTCAATTTATTCGAAATGATCAAATCAAATCTTAACAATCATACCTATAAAACGTATCTTTATTATAAATAACAACATTTTGTTTACATTAAAAAAGCTGGTTTTGTGTAATAAACAAAAAATAAATACACATTGAATATATTTCTATCTTTTATAAATAAAGTCAATTTATTTTCTGATTAGTATTTCTTTTAGGGAGTTATTTTTCTACGAGATGAGGTCATTAACCCCATGCCTAACTCTTCTCCTTTTATCCTGTCTTGGGACCGGCAGTAGCCCAATAAGGGCTCTAGGTGGAGTTAAGTCAATTTAGTAGTAAATATATTCTTTGTTATAGTCCAATCAGTAGAAAAATTATATCTCTGTACAGTTAATTTGTTTTACTCGGAATATAAACTTGGTCCAATGTATCGATTAGAATTCAAGGGAATCATTCCATGATTATTATGATTACTACTATTATTATTATGAGTAGTAGTAGTAGTAGTAGTAGTAATACTCATAATGTTTACTTCATTGTTTAATAATGAAGATGCAATTTGACCCAAATATCACTGTCATTCAAAATAGTTTTTGTCTTATGTCTACTTATTGTTAGGATATAAGTCCCCATTATTAGATCATTATTGTGTTTATGAAATAAATCGAACTATAACGATTTATTTGTTTATGTCAATTATAAAATGTTCGAAGGACTATATATATAGTTGTATAACCTTTTTTATTTAATAAATTTTCCCTATTTAAATTAATCTATTTTATTATTCTATGTGAATTGTTCCGTAAAAAACGGTGGTTTGTTGTTCTGGTCAATGGGTTTGCTTAAAACTAGAGACAGAAATAATTAAATTTAAATTATTTCGATTAAATCGTTAAGGGATTTAAAACAATGACTTTACTTACTTATTGACTTACTTACGCCTGTTATTCTCCTTGTGGAGGAGTATAGGATGCCCACCAGCACTCGTCATCCAACCCTGTCTCAAGCAATCCTTTCCAGCTCTTTCCAGGTATTATTCATCTTTTTTCATATCTGCTTCCGATTTCTGACACAGTGTATTCTTTGACCTTCATCTTTTCCGTTTTCCTTCATGATTCCAACTTAGCGCTCATCTCATGATGCAGTTTGATGATTTCCTAATTTCCTCTTCACTTGGAATCTGGTTTCTTCTCTTCTACAGTAAGCTGTTGCTGATGGCATCCGGCCAATGGATGTTGAGTATTTTGCGTAGACAGTTGTTTATAAATACAGAATACTATTCCTATTAAAATAGTTTATTGACTAATCACTATGTTATTTTGACTGTATTTTTTTTGTAAAGAGAAGTAATCACTAGTATAAGACTATCAGAAGGATCTGAATGAAAACTTGTAGAATAAATTTTTTTAGAATGATTTTTTAAGTAGTAGGAATTGATGATGTTACTCAGAGTAAAGTTTTTGTAATTAAACTATTTAGGTTAGAGATTATTTCTAAAGTATCTACTTGGTTTATGAATTCTCATATTTAGTTCCGACCGATTGACATTGAATGATAGTTGAACTCGTTTAAAGTGATATAAAACTTCTTAATTAAGTTTACTGAATAACTAGAATCAGTGTTTGGAGATTCTTGGTAATGCTGTTTAACGCTAACTAAAACAATTCAATGTGAACCTGTGAATTTATTCTTTTGACTATTTATGTTGATTTGTCTATATTCTATGAAAATAGTAGAAAGTATTTATTTTAACACATAAACATTGATACAAGAAAGTACAGATATACAGATATACACCACATAAATCATTCGATTTGTATGAGGTCTGAGATACTGCCCGGGTGCCCAAAACTCTTCAGGAGCCACATGTCGAGCCTTTGACCTACAGGTCTAATCCACAAGACAATGGAGCAACGTCAAGAGGTACAGACCCATGGTAGGCAGTGATTGATACTCAATGATTGTTATATTCTTGCCTTTGAAATCTCTTGTAATATGTATAAACGATTTATATCCTCATGTTGTCAATAGAATGAGCTGACATAATAGACATTATAGATAAATGAATTTATTTTCGATAGTAATTGATTGTTATACTTTCACATGTTGAAGAACATGAATTAAATTTGTAATGGATCAATAGTAGTAAAGTGATGAATCGATTCAACAATTCAATGTCAAATATCATTGAGCTCTTTTAATTGATTTACTTATCTTAGAAACTGTTGATTGTATTTTCTTTGTTTTTTTTTGGTTTGTTTTTCCCCCCCCCCCCAAAAAAACAATATCAATCAATCATTTGTGTTTTAGTAATGGGGTTACTTATTATTTTCACTGGAATTCCGGTTTATCTTATTGGTTGTGTATGGAAGAATAAACCGAAAGTATTTCAACGTGTATTATGTAAGTACATGTGTTGTTTTTGATTTGCTCTAATGTGGTTACTCTTTTTTTTCTCTATTTTCACTTATGTTTAAAGAGTGTTCTATGTTTTGTCTCTTTTTTTGTGAAAGGAACGGTACTAGGTTCAAGCCTCAGAGTGAACACCAACTCTGAGATGCAGTTACACCCAGCCGAAGAGTCCTTAATAGGACGAAACTCATGTCTTGGATTCCACTCCTAGCCACTATCCATCTTTGCTTATAATGCTTGTAAATTAAGACAATATCGAGACAGTCCTCACAGGATGCATATATATCCCAATAAGAGACTGATGATCAATTACAATCCTAAACATTAATGAAATGATTCAAGTTAAACAATATCAATTGGATTAAAATATAATACAGTTAGTAACGTTTGAATAATTTCTAACTATTTATAATGTCAATTCATAAATGAAGTACATTCAACTATGATACAATAAGCCTTTTAAATGGTTGCACAAATTTTATTCTAAAAAGAAAAAGTAAGGTAAGTATTATCATTACTGTAAAAAGATACGATCGATGATCAAGATTTCTGCAATGTTAATCTATACAATCAAATAATTCACACAGTTCTTATTCTCCTTTAGGTTTCCATATAGATAATACACGTCATTTAATTGTTTATTTGTTTGCTTTTTAAACCTTACTAACAGTTTTGTTACATTCAAGGTGGAGTTTGTTTTTTCTTTCCTTATTACCGCATTCTTTCCTAACAACGTTTTGTTTCCATAAAATATCACGCCAAAACAATGGATAAAATTCAAATAAGCGAAGGTGCTAGGTTTGAAGCTGTCACGAGTTCACTTAATCTGCGAACGAAAAACAATACTCGGTGACCAAAGACCAGTAAGCTAGCTATTGATGAGTCCTAACCCCGCTAAGTACAGGGAGAAATACAAGCTTGAAATGCGGAAGTATATTCTGCAAACAACCAGAAACTGTTGTGGATGCTCAGGAATAGACCAATAATTATCATGTTAAGTCCAATGGTGTCCTTGGACTTTAAATGGATATTTTCTATTGGTCGATATCTGTTCACTTGTTGAATATTGTACAAAATGTTGTTTTCTATTTTATGGTACGATGTGGTGTGCTTGATTGGTATATAAACAAAGTATGTTTGAAATATAATGATTCATATCTCCGAGGCTGTGGCTTGTCTTCTGGACTCAACTGACTGGGCTAGACAGGGAAGCGAGACCAATCAGAACCCTAGGTTGTTCTACGTGTTTGTGCGTATTTGGTCCGATCAATAATTCGCTACCCTCAATCAGCAGCATACATTTTTCACGTCATAACAGAAACGAACGATAACAACAAGCACAATTCAAAACGTATATATACAGTACAAAACCGTCCTTGGGGAGAGTTACTAAATAACATACTGAAAGACGCAACGAACCAATAGTATTTGAGATACTTCCCAGTGAGAAATACGACATGAAGGTGACAAGAGCGCCTTTGGCGCGAAAATAAAAAAATTCAAATTTTCTAAATAAAATTACGAAATCAGGTCCATTCTCAAGTGAGTTTTGGGGATCTAAAATCCCCAACAAAAAGATAGATACCAGTAGTTATTAATCTTATTGCGCATAGTGAAGTAATAAATTTTAATTATTATCCATTTACTCTCAATGAACATAGACTGAGGCCTTAATGTGTAAGTCAATGAATTACAAGTGCGATTGTTGATATAAAAGCCAGAGTTATCTCTTCTAATTGACTAATAAAATAGTAGGACAGAGATTATTGAATAATATCATAATTACTTATAAGTAGTAGTTTACACTATGGACTAACTTTTGTTAGACAATCATTAAAAGTCAGAAAACAGCAGATATCTATTTCGTTCTAATTTAGAACTAACTAACAGTACGCATCTACAACTGTATCATAGATTGAATTTGAGACCTTTCAACCTAGAGGCGAGCTCTTAACCTGTAGACTACTCAATTCACATCCTGTTATCGGTGTTTGCACAATTCCTAAGTATCATTATCTCAATAGCTGAGATCATGAGTCACTTGAAGCTAGACCACCGTAGAAAACCGGGAAGCACTGGAAGGCTCTTTCGTCCTATTGTGGGACTCTTCAGCAATGCACATCCACGGCCTCACCCCCTGAGAGATTCCAGAATAAAACGAAACGGCTGTCCAGTACTTTCAGGTTTTCCATGATGGTCTAACTGCTTCAACTGACTCATGATCTCAACTATTGAAATTACTATAATATCCACAAAGCCCTTGTGATATTTCAATTATGTTTTATCATCTGTTTATATTTCTCCATTTTCTTTTTATAGATGACTTCACATTGGGTTCACAAAAACTTTTACAATTAATACCTGAAAGTTGATTTTACTTAACTACTTTACTGTGCTTATTCAATATCCTAACACGTACACATACACACCCATAATGTCAAATGACAATGGTTATTTACGACATGATTATTATTATTATTATTATTATTATTATTATTATTATTATTGTTATTGAACTTCTTTTATTTACAATAAAGGAAGGATTAATTTTCTTCGATTGTTCCACTTATAAAAGAACGAGTTCAACTTCCATTGAATCATAGTTTGTTGTATTCCATTGAAACAATTGATGATGATTATTACCAACTGTATGCATAAATCATTAGTGTTACTAAGGTACTCAAACTATAAATGGTGTGTATCTAATAGTAAAGTTGCATTTATTTATCTCTTTCTTTATTTATTTACTTATTTGTTAACGTATTTACATAAACAAACAAGAAGACAAAAACCATACTGGTTATTCATAACATTCAGAGAATTGAGTCAATTTGATTTAAGTTTTCTCATTCGGATACAAAAAACAAACATTCCTGTTTATGGATTCGTTTTTATCTCTTTTTCTGTTCTCCATTATTATCAAGTGTCAAGTGTATTAGTGTTGCTAATCTCCTTTTTTTAAAGTTTTCTTTTACTATTCTATCTGTCATTATGATGAATGTAATTGATCTGTTTACTTTCTTCGTTAAGTCTCATATTATCCCAAATTACTTCTACATCATAATCTTCATATATCTATCTGTTTCTTTTTATCTCTTTTATTACCATTGATGTAAATCAATTAATGATAATCATTATCATAAATGGAGTTAATGCTGATCAATGTCATAATAAATACAATATCAATCAGTCAGTCAGTTACAACGTTGAACCAAGCACATATGTGGATCATTCCAAGTTGTCCTACTTCATTGCCACAACAATATTCAACTCGTTCATTCCCCCCCCTCCAAAAAAAGTAAACATTTTCTATTCTGATATATAGTCTAATCTTCATATCATTCATTCTTTCCTAAAACTATATACAAAATAATCTGTTTATGATTACTAAGTCAAGTCATCGTGTGAATATGATATTCATTTGAAACTGTTTGGGGGGAAAAACAAACTACAGAATAGAATAGTATTAGGCTATTTATTACTAACAAGAATAATAGTTCCTTAACAATAAACATTAAATGCATAAAATACAATGAACTATGTCACTGTACTACATTTCGACGATGAGTTATTTAAATAAGCTAGATTATTTTAACCCTATTCCCCACCGCCGTCTCCACTTTGAACCAATCAGAAAGCCGATATTTGATTGAACTTAGTTACTTACTATCACTTAAACGAATGCGTTTAGTGATATAAAATACAGTTCCCCTTATGATTAACTAATTTCTCCAAGTTTACAATGGGTTTCTTTTTATTATCAAAATAAGTTAAAATGTATACAGTATAAAAATTCATTTATATATATATATAACTCCATGTCATTTACATGTTATACCTTTAAAGAAACATAAATAAAGCGTCCTTAAATAGTTTCCAGTTTTTTCGTACAGGCTCTATGCACAAGATTGTTAAATAGTCATTTATGGATTTAAACAAATACAATCTTGTGTCTATATGAATATTCGTCAAGATTAGCATGAATAGTTTGACAGAAATTAGGCGCCTAGTATAGACAAGTCATTATATTATTACTCTGAAGAAGTTCAGATATATTAACTGGACGAAACGTTTTAATGATTTAAATTTCAATCGCTGAGATTATTTCAAATATAATTTTCATATATAATCACAATGTTGTGTTCTTATCAAGAAAATCATCAGTATGCTCATCAATCTACCACATTGATGATTATTTTTGCTGAAACATAATTATTATTTGTCAAACCAAGAATAAACGACTTACTGTATTTCACTTTTTTTAGTGCCTTATCTCGAATTCTACAAAAAATTACTACAGTTAAACTCATCCCATTTTCTATATCCCTTCTTGATTATACTTTCATTTCTTCATCACTATCTAATTTGTTTATACAATTCTATTACTAACAAACGCATTAGTAACTACATAATCACAACAGATATTTTCGTATCAGATGGGTTTTGTGGATATTATGGTAATTTGAATGGTTAAAATCATGAGTCAATTGAAGCTCGACCACCATGGAAAACCTGGAAGCACTGGACGGCCGTTTTCCTCTATCGTGAGTCTCCTCAGCAGTACACATCCACGAATTCGCTTCCTGAGAGATTCAAATTCAAGACCTACTGGTCTCGCGTGTTACTAGAAACACTTGTGATGTCACGTACATGGTACACATTAATTTAATTGTATTGCTTAGAAGAGTTACCAATGTTACCAGTCTACTTCGAGTGAAATAATTTGTTTGAGAATTACATTCAAATTGTTACTTCTAGTTGATTTTCAGTTTCAGCATAAGTAACACCTAAGTTTATTACCAAGCCTATTGGACTCGTTCGCCATAACCAGTTACTTACAATCTTATAGTGAAGTTTTTCAACGTGTAATCCAAAATTAGCGACTATTCACTAATAAGATTTCCATAAGAAGGTCAATAATACGTATCAATGCCAAGTTTGAACTTGTTAGTTTCAAATAAATTGAGCATTGTATAGAGAGTTAATAATAAGACATATTTCTTTTGTTATATTCCAATGAGTAGAAAAATTGTATTCCTCACGTTCCGTAACGTAATGTAAACCACCTCCTCAGAGTGTTGTTCCCGACGATGATTAGTTTAGCATAGTGTAACCTAGCATGTTAGTCATTTACATTTTTAGATTTAGAAATTGTGGTACCTTAAGATATGATATTTTCTATGTATAATTTCATGAAAGTTATTGTGGTGTTTGAATGAACTAATGATACCTTTGTACTTGTTGAATGCTCGATTTCAAATTCCAAATACAATACATTCGTTTGTGCTTGTGTCTTACTTCTTAATTCAATTGGGTTATTTCTGGGATTCCTATTTCATACTATAATCCAGACAATTCAAATATTATAGTTATACATCATAATAATATAAAGTATTTGTAATCAATCACATGGTCTTTTGCAATGTCATTGATGGTTTTAGAACGTTAAATTCTTCTTAGACCATTGATTGTGTGGACAAAATAAGATTGATTAATTCAATATGAGTTGGGTTTATATAAATATACCATACCGGATTAACTTAGACTGGAATAGCTAGTTACTGATAACAATAATAATTATAATTATTTCATCAAAGATTATGTTTATCAAGATGTTTTGATCCCTATTCACGCACCTCCATTCTCTCAGTTGCTCCGTTCACTCCATTGATTACATACTTCATACGTTTTATAAATTGTCTTCTTCAATTACTATTTGTCTATTTAGAAGTATTATGGTGTGAAATTTTAATCAAACAGTAACAGAACGACTATTATTCATTGAGCTTTTTAATAGATATACACATTCAGCAGTGTTAAAACAGTTAAACTCGTCTAAAAAGGATTTCTTCATTGAATAAATTGTTTTATTATTTAATGTGATAATGTTGTCCATTGTTGAGAAGAACATTGAATGTTTTATAAACAAAATCCATCTACCATAGAGATCATAACAACTTCAACAGCTTCATCTTGGACTATAAATATTCTTCATCATCTTGTACCAAAGTAAAAAAAATAAATCGGTTTTCATAGTATCAATACATGATTTTGTCAAGATACTTGTCATTTAAGATAGATATATTGTGACTAGTAATGAGTATAAAAGACACATATTTGTCGTACTTGGAGTCCATCAGACATATATACTTTAAATAAGATTACAACGGCAATCAACACAATATACAAATATGTCAATAACAACTAATTATAATTAAATCATGCTCATCAACAATAAGATAAGTAAGAAACTTGCTCAAGTTTTAAATAATGTACGCCGGTATGGTTCTAAGTCCTTGGTCTTAATAAACTTAATAGGCTGTATGAGTACTTGTGTAGTGAACCAGAACACAAATGGGGAAAATCGAATGTATGTGGAAACAAAATTCTATAATCTCTTAGTCAAATCTGTGAATTATGAAGTAAATACTTCATTTGCAAAATGTCAATCAATCAACTCAGACTTCATTGTTCTTTTGTTTTCACAGCAATCATTCTCTATTCTCCTTAGTCTTCTTAACCTTCTGCCTCCAGGCATTCTACTTTCCATTGATGATACATACTACTTATATCAGTCGACATCAGTAGCATACACCACAGTAGCAGTTCAGTATATTTATTTATAAGTTGTAAATTGCTTTTTGTCTCGTTATTTTAATATCATATGGTCATGTATTGAATATAATTTCCGGAAAATACTTTTCGCAATTATTATACACCATTTTCATTTTATCTAACTCTGAATTACAAAGATGATGCTCGATAATGTAGGTAACTAATCCGATTGTAAAGTCATCAATACTTACAAACGATTTATAAATTTGTTTTTGATTAAGATAATGAATCAATCGATGTTAGACCACCATGGAAAACTTGGAAGCACTGGACGGCCATTTCGTCCTGTTGCAGGACTCCTCAACAGTGCGCATCCACGATCCTGCCTCACGGGATTTGAACCCAAGGCCTTCGATCTCGCATGCGAACGCTTAACTTCTAGACCACTGTTTCCAGGTTTTTCATGGTGGTCTAACATAAATCGGTTCACGATCTCAATCGATAACCTAATAATCTTCACAACCCAATAATAGTTGTAAAATTGTGTAGAATGTTTTAAGCTACTGATAAGTAGGTAAAGTATCTATGATAAACGACCGAAAAATAACTGTCTTCGAGCTGGTATTGTCTTTGATAACAGTGCATTCGAAGGTGAGTCCCGACTTGTGAAAAGTCACCACTTATGTATTAATCGAAATTCTATTAATTCAATCATTTTAACAAACAAACACTCATTTATTCATCTTACTGAAATCTTCAACAACTATACACAAATTATGTTTAATGTTTAATGATGCAATATCATGACTCACTAGCTAAGTGAATAATGCGATGGCGTTTCAAGCGAACGGTACTGAGTTCGAGTCCCAGAGTGGATATCGGCTCTCGAACGCAGGTAAATTCAACTGACGAGACCCAAATAGGACGGAGCGCGCGTCTTGGATTCCATTGCTAATTGCTATACATCCTTGCATATAATGCTTGTGAATTAAGGTAATATAGAGGCAATACGCACAGGATGCATATACGCCAATAAAAGACTGATCATTTACAGACCTTAACAACAACGGGAAGATACAAGCAAACAACACTAAATGAATTCAAAGTGCTTTACTTTTATTCTCATGTACCATAAGGGGAGAAAAATTGCCTATAATAGATAGATAAATTAGAAATATTTTACAGTTAGAGGTTTGGTGAATATTTATGTACTAAAACTATAAACTGTTTATTTTTTTAAGGTGGTATGAGTATTTGTGAACTTGTCAAATTTGTCAGAGGGAACTAACCTTAACCCAACCAACTGATTCAGTATGGTAATCATTGAAAGGTGATGACCTGAACAGAAAAGAGTTTCAGTTCACGTGGTATTACTTTCTTTTATTGAACATGATATACATTGTTACAGACAAATAACAACAGTACGCTGATATATGTACCCCGGTTAAATTTCGTCTGATGTTTCAGTCTGCTAACTTGTGACTATAAGTTTCCATAAGAATTCACAAAATCCTTAATTATTTGGAATCAACAGCAGAATATGATAATGGCAGAAATATATTTAGGTTTATTGAATATTCACAATTTTCCTTAGAAAACAAGATTGATACGTATCTACTGAATACTGCCTACATACCGACTTTATAGACGAAACAATCTCTACACTTCTCTGATAAGTTAAATGTCAAAATCTTCAGATCAAACATGTTTTTTTTACTTCAGTACATTCTCATTGTTGAACAGGTTTATCTAATGGACGAAATGCTTGTTAGATTGTTGACATTAATGTTTAGCGTTCGAATCCCGCAAGACGAGATCATGGATGAGCATTGTTGAGGAGTTCCACAGTAGGACGAAACAGTCGTCCAGTAATTCCAGGTTTTCCATGGTGGTCTAGCTTCAATTGACTCGTGATCTTAACTATTAAAATTATTATAATATTCACAAAACCCCTTCTGATATATAGTTTTTATCAAATAATAGCATGTATAAACTTCTAAGTTCATGTCAATGCTGAAAACTATGTACAATGTGAAAAGACAAATCCATTGAATTACGTTTACATTAATGACCAAACATTTCTGTTACGTATATATTTTCGATTATTTTTTAAGTGTTGATTCTAGTTGTATAATAATAGCTATGGTAACATTATTATTTATTCACATTGAACAATAGTTAGTTCTAGTCCCGAGGACAGATGAAGGAAGAGGGTTAGGCATGGGGTCAGTAACCTCATCCTTCAGAAAATAACCCCGCTAAAAAAAGACGCTAACCAGAAAAGAAGATTTAAACCATTTAATCGCTGCTCT